CAAGATAATCAATTGGAAGATTTTATAACTTCAAAAAATTCATTTTTACTTAATTTTTAAGGTGCACCTTATTTTTATAGTATAAAGTTGCAACCTTATATAAACCGTTTCCTTGTGAAAAGGTAAAACCTAATGTCATTTATATCTAAGTACAGTACTTAATAATATAAAAGGAAATATCTCATTAACCCCTATTTTTGGCATCCATTTCTCATGAGACCCAACAATTTAAATTATTTCTTACAACATAAAATCTCTATCTTTTGTATCTTCCTAGCCCCTAGACCCCTTTGACCATATCTTATTGACCTATATAATTTGTCAAATAACTCCATCTCTCTCTATCAAATCTCCATCTCTTTCTCAAAACTCCATCTCCATCTCTCTCTCCCATCTCTTTCTCAAAACTCCATCTCTCTCTCTATTTCTCTCTCAAACTCCGTCTCTCTCTCTATCTCTAAACATAAAAAATTCTCCCCAATTCCAATATAGATGAGGCTACAAATTCTAGCAAGGGCTTCAACTTCCTACTCAAAGATTTAGGAAGAACTCCATTTGACTTACAAACCCTAGAATCAGCTCTCTTCAATTTCAATTTTTCGTGGTCTAGAGAGCTTTTATTTTCCAAAATCTTGACAATGGAAAAACTAAGGTTTTTCTTTAGGGTAGAGAGTGCAATCATGGTGCGTGCAGTAATGGCAGTTGTGGGCATGGCGGATGAGAATAACAATGTGTTCCAGCTTTGCCAAGACACTCACATTCTCTTTGAGGTCGTCTTTCTTTGTGAACGGTACCACACAGCTCTCACCTTGTGATCGAAGGTTTCCTATCTCTATAAACAAAGCTGAACTTGTGATGTTCAGCCCAAGGTGGATCAAATCTCTCTCCTCATCATTAATACCACACCGGAGACAGACATATGGTGGGTACATAGTACCATTTGCAGATCGAAAATATGTTTCTAGATCTCCTCCCACTTTTGTTGCGAACTCTACATACACTGTCACTAGTTTACTTTGGTGCTTGAGTAGAAGGAACATTGCAAAACTTGTACCGGAAAAGAGATGGATGCGCGTCTTGCAAGGGAAACCCAAACCTTACTTTATGAATTTGATAGAGAGAGAGAAGGACGAGAAATGAGAGACAGTTTTGAGACAGAGCAAGAAAGCGAAAGAGAGGGACAAGAGAATGAGAGAGAGAGCTTTGAGACAGACAAAGACAGACAGAGAGAGAGAGAGGGGTGAGACACTGAGAGATGGAGTTTTGTGAGAGAGATTAGACGGAGTTTTTAGAGAGGGAGAGAGAGATGTAATCATTTCACAAATTGTTTATATCAATAATATATGATCTAAGGGGTATAGGGGGTTAGAAGATAGAAAAGATAGAAATTTTATGCTGTTCGAAATAATTTAAATCATTAGGTCTATTGAGAAATAGGTATAAAAAATAGAGGGTTTAAGGATATTTTTTATAATATAAAATTTTATACATATACGGTGATACACTTTAAGATAAAACTATATAAGGCTTTTAATTTGAACTTTTGAAATCGAGGAGGGGGAAATGTTGGGTGCCATGGTGGTTGTTAACAGAAAAATCAAGCTGGGAAGCTCAATTGGCTTCTTGTGTATTCATATATCTTGAATATTTCTCTGTAAAATGATTAAGAATTAGTTATCTTTAAAAACAATTTGCCATTTTGGATCATTAGGCAAGTTGATTTCAAGAAATCAAGATACCCAAAAACAATTTTCTGCACAACAAATTTGAGAGAAAGTTAAATATGGATTGAACAAGTAAAAATGGGAATCGAACAATTACAACACAAGCACAAATTAAGGCACATGCCAAGTTTTTACAAAACTTCATTTTACCAAAAAAAGAACTACATTCATACGGGAAAGGGCAATGATATTTCAGAAGCAAGGGACAAACTTATACGTCTTGTGGGCAAACTAAGAGAGAAGAAAAATTCCCAATCTCTACTTACTGCCATATCTAACCTACTTACAATTGCCTTTAAACAAAAAGAAAATTACATATAGGGGGAAATTTTGGATGGAATAATTCCACAAGTTTATGGTTAGAGGAGGATGACTTTTGATTCTAAGAATAACTGGGATGAAAACCACAAAATCACATACAAAGGCAAAAGTCAAATGAGTGTTTTTTTGGAAAGGAGAGCAAAACTGACAGTATACACCAAGCAAAGAACCCTCATCAGTGTTTGCTCAAGTAGGTTTTTTGGTCGATCTTACTAACCATCATCATTGTCATAGCTTTTTTCTATTTAATTGAGGTCGGTTATGCAAATCCTAGTCCACTGTTCTGCTCTATTAAAGGCCAAATTTTCAGGGAAGTCATAAATCCCCATATATTTTCTCACTATTTTCAACCACGTTCTTTTGGGTCTACTCTTTTTCCTTTTTGAACATTCTACTAAATTTAATTTGTACCTCCTAACAGGCGTTATACTGAATCTGTGCCACACATGGTCAGCCCACGTAAGTTTGCTCTCTCTTATTTTCTTGCTTATTGGTACCACATCTAAATTTTCGATCCATCTTACTAACCGATAAACAAAATCATCCAGAATTTACGTATATGGTCCAGGCTCTAATGTGTTTTAACAGTACCAGAGAAAGAGAAACACAAAAAGCAAACGCTCTGGCTCATGCCCATTTGGCCATGAAAGACATAGCTCCAGCCCCAAAAAGAAGTGCAGCATTCGCAAATGACTGAAGTTTTCCATTGCTTTGCATCTTCGGATTCATGAAATCAGCGGCCAAGAGATCCACAAGTGACATATAAATGAGAATTCCTGCAGATGCTGCGTTGAAGACGCCTTCGACTATGAGAGCTGTACGCCTGTTTTCATGATATCTTGACGCAATTGCTATGCCCACTGCAATTCCAACAGGAGTTGTAATCGAGAAGAAGAGGGCCATAGATGCAGTAGCTCTATTCTTGAACTTTGCCTAAAAAGATAAAATGAAATGAAAAAAAGATACTCATATGTGGAAAAGTTAAGTTCAAAAAGTTGGCGGCCTAGGCTTCATTGTCCCACCTTGGGGTTATATGGCCCAAGGCGTGGTGGTAGCCCGGGGAGGGCACCCAGGTCCTACTGCCTTGTTGCCTGCCCTGAGCCCTTTTGGCGAGCTAGATTGTTAGTGGGAGAGACAAAAGATGTCATTGTTGGAAGTGATGATGAAACCCAATTGAGCCCTTTTTGAGTTCATGATCATTTAATTATTTGTTGTGTTTGGGTGTTGAAATTTTAAATTGGATTTTGGAACTTAGTTTGTGATTTCCATAATTGAAAACCCCATACTCCCACTGTTCTCACCACTCCCCACCCAATCAAAAAATATAAAAAACACAATGCCCACACAGTGGCCGCTCAGTGTAGCCGTTTTTGTCTTCTTGAACCTTGTGGAAAAGTATATAGTAAGATCATTACCTTATACAGTGAGGTAGCAATTACTCTTGCCCTTTGGATTTTAAATTGGGCGGCTGGGGGTGTGCAAACAGGATCAAAGTTCAAAATAAATTTATTAAACATTGTAACAACCCCCAAGCTGTCAGATTTGATATCCTACAACTAAGTGCAACTGTGACGTCCTCGTACCAAAAGTAAATGTTATATAATCTATAATCCCTTATCTTTTTCAATGTAATCTTTTTCTTAGAAAATTTTGCTATGAAAAATCGGATAAGACTTTGCTCATAGAAATAGCAGTAGAAGTTCATTCAATTGGGTTCTTATTTAGCATGATTAATAAATATTTCTTCATATAGCCTCTCTACCTTTACATTGCATTTGGATCAATCAAATCATACGAGGGGAGCACGGGTATATCTTACTTAGGGATGGGTCAGTTCTCACCAATTATTTAAATAAAATAATTGCGAACAACATAACATGGACGCTTGACAGTTGTTCCATATGATTTATAAATTTTTGGATTGTTATTGTTTATTTCAATGTTCAAATATGAGAAAAAAACTCCTGCAGTTGGATTTGTAGAATCCGATTTGTCTGTGTAGTTTTTTAAAATTTTAAGATTAATAAGATTTTTATCAGAAAATTTATCAAAACTTTCCATTATAAACAAATAAATTGGACTTTATGTGTAAGGTGGAGGGTCAGGAATGGGTCAATCAAATCTAATCTTCTTTGATAGATTTAAAATGGATAAGCCGCATTTGAAAAAGGAAAGAAGCATTCAATTATCTAGGAAAAAGTAGTTAAGGCGTGGGGGGACACATGACTATATTTGTGTCCCTCGAGGTATCACATCCATCCACTACATCCATCTTAATGATGGATGTGGAGTTATACTCTCTCCCAAAAAAAAAAAAAAAAAGGCAAAATCAAGTGCTTGTCATTTTTTTCAAAAAATTATCATTTTTACCTTTTAAGGTTTATTTATTTATTCACATTCTCCATGCTGGAGATTACAAATAACTAAAAAAAATTAGGTCCAATATCTAACTCAAAAATGGATTATGAAGAAGGGCCGCATATCTACATATGAGTCCTAAGACTCATAACAACCGTGTCCGTTATTTAGAAAAGAGGATAGTCGCCAACAACTCAACATGGACACATGACAGTTGGTCAATGTGAGATATAAATTTTTGAATTGTCATTGTGTATTTCAATTTCAAATATGAGAATAAGCATCTTGAATATAGATTTGTAGAATGTGGATTTGACTATGTAATTTCTTAGTATTGTAAGTTTAATAAGATTTGTAATCAATATCTACAACAATAAAGAAATACTTTTTACTTAGTAATTAGGATCAGGGAAAAGTTTATATAGAGCTAATTAAATTAGAGCCTACATCAAAAATTTCAATAAAAGAGGTTGTTTTGATTCCCAAATATCCTTAAATTGATCATTTCGACATCAATATGCATAGACATGAAAAAAAAAAAAGGATTTCAAGTTTTGGAAATAATGTATTTTGTAACGCATTTTTAGACCGTCAATTTTCAAGTTTTCATAGATCTCTCGATCTACACTATTTCTTTAAATTTTATTTTAAAACTACATTTTTCGACATTATTTGAAGATAGGCTCTAATGTGATTGTTTAGAGCCTAGGCTCTATATTATAATTATAAACAAATAAATTTTAGTTTGTATGTAATGGTATAAATGAATTGGAGTCAAACTCCCAACTTCCAATAAAAAAACACAAAAACAAATAATTTGAAGTATGTTTACTGCTAACAAATAATTTGAAATCTACAAAGACTAAAGTGCAAGAGAAATATATTATAACATAATAAAAAATTTTAGTTGTATGTAATGGTATAAATGAATTGGAGTCAAACTCCCAACTTACAATAAAAAAACACCAAAACAAATAATTTGAAATATGTTTACTGTTAACAAATAATTTGAAATCCACAAAGACTAAAGTGCAAAAGAAATATATTATAACATAATAAAGAGAAATCACAATAAGAATTTTCAATGAATTTACCTGAACAATACAACCTCCCAATCCCATTCCTTCAAAAAATTGATGAAAGCTCAGAGCAGCTACCAAAGGCCTTATTGTTCTTGGGCTTTCTGATGCTCCAAGTGAGATTCCAATAATCACCTAATGGACTATAATACCCAACTCCAAAACCTGAAAATCCGATCATGTGAAATCCTATTGCTTGGCATGCATCACAAAATTTGAAATAATTATTTTTGGGTTTGATCCATCACATGCAATCCCCAAGTCATCAAATTTCATATCTAAGCGACAAGATTGATTGTGATATATTTTTATTATTAGATACCATACAGGAAAGATAAAGATGAAAGCTTGTAGTCTTTACCTGAGAGATGACCATGTGCCTAAGGGTTTCAGCCCCACCATGCTCAACCGCACCATGTGAATGTCCATGAGTCCCATGTGTATGCACATGATCTGCCTCATTCCTCTCAGCATTTTCACCATTAGCAGGAACTTGTGGGCTCTGAAAATGAACCATTTGATAATAACCAGTGGCCAAGGTGTCCACAGTAAGTGTTCCTAGGGCGGAAAGCATGGCCACAAAACCAGCAAAAGGGAACTTATTCCATGGTTTCCTATTCAAGCAGGGATCGACTAGTTTATCAAAAGCATCCGGGAGCAAATGAATAAACCCGGTGGCTAAGATAACACCGGCGGCAAAGGCTTTGATAAGGAAGAAAGGGTTGCGTTCGGGTTTGAGGGCTGGGATCGATCGCCCCACAATGGGAATGCATACTCCCACTGCTCCAGCAAAGAGTATGCAGCCGATGGCGGTGAGCTTGAGGCTCAGGGCTTTGGACCTGTTGAGGTCGGTTTCTTCAGGGGCGCACGAGTCCCTTTCTTCAGCACGGCTGACAAAGGGGAGTAGGAGTAGAGAGAGGAGGAAGAAGGTGAGGAAAGTGAGGGATTTCATCTTAGAGGGAGAGACAAACAAGAGAGAATCCTAGTGACTGAATGCAGAGAGGTAGAACTAGAACATGATTGTATACTCGGGACCATTTACCATGATTGTACACTCGGAGACCATTTAATGACTGTATACTCGGGACCATTTACCATGATTGTACACTCGGATACCATTTACCTGCAGCACAAGGATGTCACTATCAATTATAGTGGTTAGATGTCAATTATAGTGGTTAGATGTGAAATTCAATAGTTTGAGGCATGAGACAGGTCTCGAAAGCTTTTTTTTTTGGACTTTGAACCGAATCAATAGTAGACTCCTAGCCATCCAATTTGACATCCAACAACGAGTGGCCATTGTGACCTTATTTCTCTTAAAAAATGAGTATAGAATATTATCATGGTTACTGGAAAAATGAGGCTCTTCATCTTTGTATTCAGACAAATAAGTGGGAGAAACGACTATTCAAGGCCGTAACGTCTCCTCATTACAACATTAATAACATGAGTCTTGACTTTGATACACAAGTTGGGTGCATTCTTAGGATGTAATTTGATAAATAAATATTAAATTTCTTAAAATTAACTTAGCATTACTCAATTGTCCAACAAATCATTATGGATTTACTTTCTCCAAAGAAATCCACTCCATGCAGGTAAACATTGACCACGATTATCAATTTTTAAGATTAATTTTTTAAATATTAAGATTAAATAGTTATTAACCACCTTTCCTCTTCACCGACTGCCCCAGATTCTTTTTCTTTATTCTTTACGGGAGGATTGGGATTTTTCTTTTCCTAATGGACATTTTATAGGTTCAGGATTCATGATAAGTTTTGTCGATAATGATAATTGACATTTTGTACGTTGATTTAAGGAAAACATATTGAGTGGGTCTCCAACCTATTTTAGAGAGGAAAAGAGAAAAAAGGGAACAATATATCTGGTTACCCAATGATGAGTAAAAAAAGAGAAATTTTATTATTGAAATTGGGTCTAGGGTAAAGACAATAACAATTTAGTTTTCATAGTGCCACATCTCAAGATACATTCCCACATGACCTTGTCAAAATAATGGAGAGTTTATTCATTTTTAATGAATAAGTTTGATAAGGGCTGAGGATAGAAGGATGATAAATTTTATAAGATAAATAATATGAGGTCTTTAATTTGCAAGTGCTGAGAAATGGGTCCTAGGTTCTTGACTCGAAAGGCTTCGAAGAGACAAGAAGAAGAAGAAGTGCGGAAGCTTTATTCTCTTATGTTTTTAAACGAGTGGCGAATAATGGGGGGGAGCTCATACTTCCATTTCCAAGTCTAAGATATTTCTTGTGGCTCAAAAGCCATCCTATGAGCCTGTCGCTTTTGCATTTCCCTTTCTTTTGCTTTTTGTTTTTTGTTTTTTGTATTTTTTTGTTTTGCAGTTCCTTTTCACCTTTGTGTAGTTTAATAGGAGCCTTGGGAATTTTGAGAAAATAGTGAAGGCTTTGCCATGTCCCATATTCAATCAAATCAACAAAAAAGATCATGGGCTGGGCTGGGCTGGGGAGAATTTTCATTACTGGTATTGTTTCAAGACTTGGTTGAGTTATTCGACCTAGTTGCTCTTATTTAAGAGTATTAAAAGTCTGGATATTTGTTTAAAATCTTGGATATATGATTAAAAAATATATTTTTATATAATTTATATAGTTGTTTTAGATGATTTGGGAGTTTTCTTATGGGCAAGCTTTCTATGCTTCCCCTACAGCATGAAATTTATATACTTCCCCTTATCTAACCGTCTATTCTGAATGGAGGGTTAAGATTGCTCCAATCACAATGTCACGTTTCTACACTATTTTATTTTTAATTTTTTTTTTATAAGCTATATTGACACCAAATTCAAATATATAAGAAAAAATTGCCAAAAAAATAAAATGACCAAAATACCCCTAAAAAGTTCAAAGGGTATTTTGGTCATTAATTTTTATCTAAAAATTATTTTTAATATTTTTTATTGGTGCGCCCCAATGAGAAGATGATACGTACAAAAATTTATATTCATGCAATTTGTGTAAAAAAAACTAAAAATAAAATACTTTGAGACATTGGATCTATGATCAAATGATGAGTGATTCTCTTGATCAAAATTGGACGGTTGGATGGTAGGAGAAGCATAGATCTTATATGGTGTAGGAGAAGTATAGAAACCTTTTCCTTTTTTTATTACATGCTTTAATTTTATTTTATTTTTTATAAATGTTTTAACGTGCAAATCAAAATTTTCAATAATTTGTTTTATAATTTTTTTTGACTTGATGAACTTTTAATGATTTTTATTATTTATCTTACTTTTTTATTTTTAAATATTTTTGACAAATCTTTTACAGGTTTTTCTTGAGTATTTAGGTTGGTTTTATCATATACAAGACTTCGGCCAAATCCCCTAGAACTTGGTCAAGTTACTGCCCTTTGGAGTCGAGGCCCAAACTGAGTTTGAAAACATTTACATTAGTAGTAGAGTGACAAAAATACTAATAAAAAAAAATGTGACAAAAATTAACTCTTTAATGTTTTGAGAAAGATTAATCTTTCGAGATGAGTGACCTTTGAGGGATTCAGTTCATGTGACCTTGCTTAACTGTAGAAATGCCTTCTTCCATTAATTAATCAAATATTGGGATTACTTGATTATTTTGGCTAAAACTCGTGGGATTGGATCATGCGAGTAAGGATTAGCTGTTTTTGTAATCCGACATTAAATGTCACTAGTTTTCTATAGAAATATATATTAACTATAGTGGAAGATAAAATCATCCACATGAGATACGACATCTACTAGTCAAATGCCACTAGTTTTTAGTAAAAATATCTATTATATTCCTCTTAAGTAAAAAAAAAAAACCCTTACTAAAAAAAAAATGTACTGCAAAATAAAAGGCAATGAGGTCAAAAAAATGTTGAGTACATTAAAGAAATACTAATATGTATGAGTACCCTAACATGACCATTTTAATAATTAATCAATGTAAAGTATATATTTTTGGCAAAATCAAAAGCATTTAGTAACTATGGTAAGAAACAACATCATCTAAATAGGATGTGATATCATCTACATGGGATGTGACAAGTGTTCGTAAAATCGAACCAGAACAGTTCACCGAACATGGGCCTGAAGCGGTTTAATTGGCCTAACCGATAAACCGGTCAATTTGGGCATTCTAACCCAGCAAGTCCCGGATGGTAAAAAAATAATAAAAAAATAAAAAAGATAAAAAAAATCTACTAAAATATGAAAAACATATAAAGAATGATTACAAGAAAATACATTCAAATGAAGTTGAAAATTAATGAAAAAAATAAATTTTAACGAATCAGTGTTTGAATTCAAGTAAATATTAATGACCAATTTTTTTTTAATCTTTACCATAATATAAAAATATTTTAAAAAAATGCATTACAAACTAAATTCATTATTTTTGGGAATTTATATACACTTTTATTTTTTTTTCAAAATACTAGTCAATTACCAAAACAACCCAAAATCAAAACTAACTAGGCCGTTAGCAGTTAGATCGCCCGATTTTTCTAATAGTGAATGTGACATAATTTAATTAGTTTTTAACAAGATTTATTATTTTAACCATCACTAATGATAAAAAATTGTTACTGCTCGAAATATTGTTGTATTATAAAGCAAACAATCCTCTCTCTCTCTCTATATTTCCTTTCTTCATCAATTAGACTCACTAAAACGCATCAAATTGGCTAGAATCATAAGACCGACAAACGTCTCAGAGAGAGTGATGTGAAAGGATGGTGGGAAATTAAAACCACCCTCTTTTTAATAAAAATGAGCAATATCCCATATCAAGAAATTACAAATAAAGAAAATACCAACCATATCCCTCTTTTCAATCATCTAAATAAAAATCAGCAATATCCCATATCAAGAAATTACAAATAAAGAAAATACCAACCATATCTCTGAAATTTTCAGATGAAATGAATTTGAATTCAAACTTCCCTTGATTAGCCTCAGAAAGTGAAAGAAAATGGGGAAGCTTTTTTTTTTTTTTTGACAAGAGCACAAATTTTTTATTGCTTATAAGTAATTGCAACGAAGTTACACATAAAAAAAAAAACCAAAAAAAAAAAAAGCAAGAAGGAAGATGAACACCAGCTTTGGCAAAATGAAGCTTTATTGAGAGAAATCTCTGGCATCTGTGTTTTTAGGGGCCATTTGGATACTTGGAACAGTGGAAATGCCACATTTTTGGTGTTTTCGATTGAAATTTTAGGACTTAAATGTATTTCCACACGTAATTGTTTTCTTCATTTCAACACAAAATTAAATTTCAACCCAAAATTAAAGAAATCTCTATCATTGTCTTTACCTTCCCTAATTGATTTCCAGCTAGATTTCCCTGTTAGAGAGACATCCAATTTATACAAATTAGAGCTATACTATATCAAATTTTACGTTTTAGAGAGAGAAAGTCTATTAAAATTTAAGAAAGAGAAACTATTTCTAATTTTAGAAATATTTTAAAGAGAGAAATTATCCCAAAATTTTTATAGAGAGAAACTATTTCAAATTTTAAAGGGAAAAGTTTTAATAAGGTCGCAACCTTAAAATCTAGAATTAAAGGTGCACCTCAAAAATCTATCATAAAAGGTTGTTTGAATGTTGGAAACCATCTAATTCATCATTTCATACATTAAGATGTATGAATATGAAAAGAAAAAAGGATCTCAGACATAGTGCATTTTACAACATATTATCTACACCGTTCATTTTCAAGATTTTCATATGTTTATAGATCTACTTGATTTTAACCATTTTTGAAATTTAAAATTTTATAAAATAGATTTGAGACAATCCTAAGAACATTTTACATCAAAATTATATAGCATGATAAAATTTGAATGTGCACCTTACCTCTACAGCTACAGATGCATCCATATGCCAACTGCACCTTTATCTAAAAGAAACCATTTATCTTTGTAAATGGAGGTCACAATCATACTTGTTCCTTAAATTTTAAAATAGGTGGTCGTCATAGTATCATTGAATAGACACAAAGTTTCAAAAAAAATATTTTTAGACTTAATGACTTACCTCAAGCCATCCAATTTAGCATCTAATGAGTGAGAATGATTGTAACCTCCATGTACGAAGGATAAATGATCTCTTTATAAACAATCTTGTTTATAAATATGGGGCTTCATAAATGAAATTTGTGGTTCAAAAAGATATACCATCATGGAGAGAGAGAGAGAGAGAGAGAGAGAGAGAGAGAGAGAGAGAGAGAGAGAGAGAGAGAGAGTAAGTAAAGTAAATAACGTAATAAGTAAGTAAGTAAGTAAGTAGTTAAGGTAACGGTAAGTAAGGTAGGTAGTACGTAGTAGTACGT